GCTTTTTCTTACACAGCCTTCAGCATTGTCAGTTCTGAAATGCTATATCTGCAGAACTGCTGCCGCAGAGCTGATGTCTGCGACCCTCCCCCCTTTACTGCAGCTAGCGTGTTTCTTCCCTGCCTTTGAGAGCACCCCCTCAGTCCCTTCCTAAAGGGAGATTTCTTTCTCTGCAATTAGTTAATCCCCTCTTGAAGCAAAAAAGGGCAGGGAATTTAGGGTTTCACCAGTAATCCACGTTGTGTGGCTGTCCCAATGGCCAGAGAGTTAATGAGGAGTCTTGTGGTAAGAGAAAATGGGTTTCTAATTGTTTGCTGAATAGGCATTGAAATCCAGTTTCTTTTTCTGCTCCTTTACTGCTGTCCCTCTTATTCCTCTTATGTGCCTTTCTTGTGCAGCGTTGATCCTCACTACAGTAAAAGCTCAGTTATCCAGCCCTAACTTAACCAGAAAGCTCAATTAACTGGTATTTCTGGTACCTCCCAATATGTATCTTCAGTCTAGTAACTGGGACTAGTGTACTGCCCAGCATGTTATGCAGTTGCATATTCTGCACTCTACTTTTGTGCAAAAGAGGCAAAGACAAATAAGCAAGCTGAAATCAGGGATTTATTTTTAAAAAAAAGTTTTTGGGTGTGTCATAGGTTACGGTTAGAGCCCTGTGTGGATACAAAATTGTTATCTGCAGCTGCAAAAATGATCTGGACATATCCACAGATATCTGCAGAGTTCTGGATTTAAAAAAGTGAACCTGTATCTGTATCTACAAAAATGAGCCACGGATGCAGATATCCACAGATATAAAGCAGATATCCGTGGATTTGCAGGGCACTAGTCATAGGATCAGTACAGATTCAGCCCAATTCTACGTCTTCGACATCTATAATGATGATTAATGGTGTTAATGATGACCTGGAGGCACTGCAAGAGCCTGAAGTGCTTTCTGAAGTATCAAAAAAAGATTAAATTCTGTTCAGTCTCATGTAGTGTTTGTTTGGTGTATTATTTGTATTGATCTGGGTGTATGTGCTGCTCTTGGAGATACGTAGTGTTATATGAGAGCCTACTGTAAAGAACATTTTACTATATACATCTAAGTGCTTCAAGGAACCAACCACTCTGCAGTGCAGTGCTACTACTGGCTTGGTGAGTACCTGTGTGCTGTTTTATACTTGATTTATTTTATTGTATTCTTATTCTTTGAAAATTGGTATTCTGTTGATAAAGAATAACTCTCCGTTAACCATATTAATCAACTAACCAGCATCCCTCATTCTTCCAGCATATGAATGGCAGAGCTTTTACTGTATTATGCTTGCATGCCAGGAGCAGGTGAATCTTCAGAGACATGGGCAACTTGAAATCTTGTTGGTTTAAAAAAAAAAAAAGTTAAAAGCATCTGTGGGTCCTAAGGCATGCCCTGAAAATGCTCCCTTTTTGAGGCTTTACAGTTGCATTTTTCTACCTTCGTGTGTTTCAATCTTCTGTGTGGCAGCATAGGAGGAGTTGGTAGAATAAAATGGGGAAACAGCCATGTTCCAAGGAAATTGAGGGCAAAAACACACCTTCCCTCATTTGTGGTTCTGATCTTAGCTGCCTTATTATAAGCTAAAATATCTTCAGACAGAAATGACTTAATTGTAAGTCAGTGGTGTATTAGAAATGTGCCTCGACTGTAAGTTTCACTTAGGGTTTATTAGATGTAGATCTTCCCTTGCCATGCATACCACCTGACATTGCAGTCTTCTGCTGTGTATGAGAACCAGAGAGTGGAACTGACTGTAAAGAGGAGAAAACAGAATCTGCTGTAAATTGAGTACAAAAGTCAAACATAGCTTTGGAAAGGTCTCCTCCAAGGTACCTGAATTATCCACATCACCATAGAATAGTGGTTTTCCTGTTCGTAAGAACACATAAAAACTTTTGAAAGGAGCTGCAGACCCCTTTGGGAATATTAGGGGTAGGCTACAGAAACCACTGCCATAGATTCAAAGCACCTTACTGTCTTGAATTTGTTTATCTCCACAACTCCATTGAGAGGCAGGACAATGCTTTTGAGATGTGCAGTAGAGTAAGGATATTAAGCACTAGTCAACTATCTGATAAGCAAATGCTTATTCAATAGTCGAGTTGACTAGTCATCCCCCCGCCCCCGCTGCCTCTGTCAGATAGAGGCAGCAAAGGGAGGGGGGAGTGCGGGTACTTCAAAGCTGCAACACTGCATGGAGCTCGGGGTCAGCTCCGTGCAGTGCTGCTTTGAAACGCCGAGCCTGGGATCAGCTGTGCGGCACTGCCCCTTTAAAACACTGCTGTGTTTGCGTGGAGCCCAGGATCAGCTGGAGAGTGGCTCTGTGTGGCATTTCAAAGCAGCAGCGCAGCATGAAGCCCGAGGTTGGTGGGAGATTCTGAGTCCCCCACTGGCCTCAGGCTCCATGAGGGCGCTTCTGCTTTGAAATGCACAAGAGCCCCTGGTGGGGACTCATGTACATTTCAAAGCTGGCACCAGTGTGTAACCTGGAATCAGCAGGACTTCCCGCTGGCCCTGGGCTGCAGGTGGAGTTCCGCATTCCTTCTTTGAAATGTACAAGAGCCAGTACATTTCAAAGGAGGAATGCAGAAGTGCCTATCAACTAGTCGAGTAATCGATGGAAATTCCATCGACTACTCGACTAGTAAATTACTCAATATTTAACATCCTTACAGTGGAAGAGACCCAGAAAGGCTAAGTGACTCATCTGAGGTCATCCAGAGCAAGATATTGAATTCCAGAATCCCATGTTAACATCCTAACTGCCCCTTACTGTATCTTCGTGGGTCCCCAAATAAGAACTGTACTTGTGTGATGCCTAAGTTAGCTTAATGCCTGAAACCAACCAAGCAAACCAAACACTGGCTCTCCAAAGGCAGAGGTCTCACAAGTTATGCCTGAGTCCTCAGAGGAGACCTCCAGGAAAGCAGAATGCAACATTCCTGACATTCTTAAAAAGGGAAGTTTCCATGCTTGGGGTTTTTTTTTTTTTTTTTTTTTTGAGAAGGGAATGTCTCTTATCAGAAAGAAAACACAGTCCTTAAGACCTGATCTGCTGCAGAATTTTGTCAGCATAGCTACATTAGCTAAGGGTGTGTGGGGAAAATCATGCCCCTACCCAGTGTAGCTGCGCCAGAAAATCTGGTGTGGATGCACATATACTTGTAGTGTGGATAAGCCCTCAGTCTGACTTTGCAGCCCCTCTGTGTGTTTATAATGTATGTCCTTCAGCTTGGACCATTTTACCTCTTGAATGCAGTTAGTTCTGCTATTTGGGCAGCAAAAAGTGCAAGAGAAGACCTTTAACAGTAAAAATCCCCTCTCCTTGGCTTTCCAGGTATGTGTCTCATTGAGGAGGGCGGGAGAGAGGCCAAAAGCCTAAACTTTGGCCCCAAACCATCATCATCAGCTGGCTCTTGCTATCTACTTACATGTCTCAGTGCTGCTTTCATATTTTGCTTCACATCTTGTTAGAGCAGCCCTGGGGTTGGGGGGAGTTGGACCTGCTTGGGTTGGTTGGCTGCATGTGAAATGATCAAAGATGAACTTGCAGTTGGGAGAGGAGCAGAGGATTTATGGTACTGTAGCCACAATGTGCTGCTCTTCTGCCACTAGAGCCCAGCACTGATTGGTTGGGGCTTTCTGATCAGGTACCCTGCCCTTGTATTGCTATCCTGCCTTGCTTGGTTGCTCTTCCATTCTGTCTGGTGTATTCCTGTTGCACTGCTGTTTTACTTTGACCAGTATTCAGGCTCTATCAGTGCCCAGTGTCTGATACTTAAGGTGAATCATTTCCTCACCCAGCCAATTCCATCTGTTCATTTTCTCTTTGTTAAACTAAAGGGGTAACAGGGAGATAGATATTTAACAATGGGTTCTTCAGTCTGGGAAAGATCTGCTCAGGGAATCACTTTGGGGCTGTTCTTTCGTGCCTATGTTGTCCTGAAGGTCAGATTAGGTCTTGTCTACTTTTAACAGTTTAAAGCGCAGCCGCAGCAGCATTTAAAACAAAGTATGATCATGATCCGGTTGCTGGGAGAGCTCTATGTAAACCACCTCCACAAGGGAGAGTAGCTAACAGCATTGCAGCCTGGTTCCCACTGGTGCTTTACAGATCTGTTAACTTGCTGTGCTTGGGGGGAGGTGGGTGTTTTTTCATACCCACTGAGCTAGAAAGTTAATGCACTGTGAAGTGCCAGTGTAGACGTGGCCTATGTAATTCTAACAGTTTCTTCTGGCCTTGGAATCTGTGAATTGCACAGTACCATGAATGGAAAAAAGGGGAAGAAAAGTGAATTTGTTGCTCCCACCTGAGGTCTGATTTGCACCAACATTGCTGGTCATAAAGCTGTCCAGATGGAATAGTTGATTCTCCTGTGGCATTGAGTTCTACAGGTTGGCTTTCTGGGCTTAGACTATGGCATGTCCCACCGACCTGCTGCTGTTAAGCAAGAGAGGCCTTAGCAGTACTCCCTGTAAGCTGGGCACTTGTGCTGCCATTCAGGAAAGATTCAAATTCAGATGCTGCCCAGCTGATTAGCAGAGTGCTCACAGCTAAGTTTTGTGTGTCTATTGGTGGTTCACATTTGCACGTCTCAGTACACACAAAAATATTCTGCATATGGATGGAAAAAATTAGAGGGAACATTTGGTCTGAGGCCTGGTTAGAACCATGCAGGCCGTACTCCAGGGTGACCAAACTTTTTAAATCAATCTCATATTTCTCTTTCCTTGCAGGGATCTTCAAGGCAGCCTGCTTAGAGGAGAGCTCTGCAAAAGGATCTAGACTGACCATTCCCTCATCTGATTTCAGCTTCATTGGCAGCAGGATTTGCATTCCAGATTGTGCCCTCCTCCACCTTCAGGCCAAACTGTAGGACTTTAAAGCTGAAACCATGTGAGGGGGTTTCCTGTGCTCCCCCCTTTCCCCTGACCCCCTTCCCTCCCCCAGCCTTAGGCGCGTCACTGCTGAGCGGATCAGGTGGGAATCCTGGCTGGCTGGTTCAAAGGCTGGAATGAATGTGAGCAGACAGTGGCTCTGCTCTCTCTCCTCAAGCGTGTCACTCGCACCCAAGCCCGCTTCCTGCAGCTGTGCCTGGAGCACTCGCTGGCCGACTGCACCGAGATCCACATTGTGGAGTCGGAGGCCAATAGCGCAGGTGAGTTTGATGCGGCTTTGGGACATGGTGGCTGTTGGTCAGATGAGGCCGTTTGCCCCCAAGAATTAGCCCCAGGAGTGGGGTGGTTTAGATCAGGGTGTTTTAATCTGACACTCCCTTCTCTTAATCTAAAAGTAGTTCCTTTGTTGTGGTATGGGAGATTATCCCATCTCTGAAATGCAGCCACCTCTGGGGCGAGACAGGCCAGCCGTTAACAGCCAAGCAATAATGCTGTGCAGAGGCTTAGGGTAGGAAAGGAGGCATGCTATAGCCCTTGGGATTGTAACCCTTTTGGGTTAGGGGACTTTCTGTGTGTGTGTGTGTGTGTGTGTGTGTGTGTGTGTGTGTGTGTGTGTGTGAATTTGTGCAGCATCTGGCACAATGGTGTCTGTAACTGGGGCTCCTTGGTGCTACCATTATACACTTGTACACTCCCCATATTAATGAGCTCCTGGTTCATGGCTGGGCACAATTGTCTGTAGTCTGTGCTCATTGGCTTCCCCAAAGACCGCAGCTGTGGCAACACAGCGCCAGCTAGCCCTAAGATGCTGTATAGAGGTGGGCCCTGATTCAGAGAGGAGAGTCACCTGTCTTTCTCTGATTCTAGGGGGAGGGAAAGCTCAGTGGTTTGAACATTGACCTGCTAAACCCAGGGTTGTGAATTCAATCCTTGAGGGGGCCATTTAGGGATCTGGGGCAAATCTATCAGGGATGATACTTGGTCCTGCTGTGAAGGCAGAGGACTGGACTCAATGACATTTCAAGGTCCCTTCCAGTTCTGAGATGGTATATCTCTCTGCAAGATGGCTGCGCCACTTAATGCTGTGCTGGGGCATTGGGACAAAGGGCAGCCAAGGGCAGAGCACCCTCTATTGAGCCTGAACCACTGTACCAGGTCTTGGTAACTAACATTGGAACGTGGATTATCCTACACCTAAGATTGAAATAGACAATTGGTTCACGTAATCAGGGCACTGTTCTCTCCTGTAGTGCAGTCATCTTTGTGACCTCGTTCTAAACATTCCAGGAACCAGAGCTCCTTCCATGGAAGGAGAATGCTCTATAGCTTCAACCCCGCCTTCGTTCCCCTGCCACTGGATTTCATCCCCTTTCTCCTGTTCCCACCCCCAGCCACTCTCCCGCCTTTACTGGTCACATTCTTCAGATTCTCGGAGAGCAATTGCAGTGCATTGGAATGACTTGACTCTCCTCCCTGAGACCCAGTAGCTTTTGTGCCTTTCTCTCTGTGTCCCTTGAACTTGATCATTTAAGCATCTGGGAAGCAAAAAAGTTTGAGGCTTTTCTAGAGTAGATCTAGTAGATCAGTGTTCCCTTTAATGCAGATTTACTTGTTCTAATGCAGCATTACTCAGCCTTCTGGCTGGTGACCCCCTTTGAAGGCAAATGTTTTCCTGAGCATCTCATACTTATTATAAATGAGTAAAAAAATTATAATAATCATGCTAAACCTATACAGTTTATTTGTATTTTTCAAGAGGTTAATCAGAGAATGCTTGATGTTGAAAAAGGTCAGGATGTGGCAGGAATGGGGAAGTGAAATTTTCCTTCTGTAGATTGCAATATAACTTTTCAAAAACTTGTAACTCACCTCCTACCCCCGAAGGTTGTGGCCTTCCTGGTTGAGAGATGCCTTGTCTAAAGTCTTGTTTGCAGCCATGTTAAGACCTTCTCTCTTCTTCCTTGTGTGTTGGGAGTGGGGAATAAATGAGGAAATAAAACTGGCAAAAGCTTCAGTGTGCACACTTCAGACTTGTCTACATGGGCTTCCTCAGGAAATTAATCTGAATTAACCACAGTTGTAAACTAGTCGTACCACTTTAAACCACTGGGTGGACACCATTGTAAACTAAAGTGACCTTAATTTGATTTAGTTTAATTAACTATGGAAATGAATTATGAATGAGGCTTTGGAATTGAATTAAATTAATCAGAATTAAGGCCACTTTAATTCTTAATGAGAGCATCCAACTGGGTTTAGGGCAGTTTAATTAATCCATTTTGAATTTACACATACAGCTTACTTGAAGAGTATCCCTAGTAGACAAGTTATTTTTTTAAGTGTTGCTCCACACACAGATTTTAGTTTTAGTATAGCTGTCATTAGGGGTGTGATCATTTTGTTATAGGGGTTTTTTTTGTTTAATTTTTACATCTCTGTAATTCTGTGGAGGCAGTCCCTAGTATGGATGCTGTTATCCTAACTGGGGTATTCTTAGCTATAGGCCAGATGAGCTACAGACACCTCCCAGTATAGCTAAATCAGCATGGGTTGTGAAGGGGTATGGTCCCTGAACAACCTAGCTTTGCCACAAAAGCCACAAAGTAGATGAGGCTATTCCAGTAAAACTGTGCTTTGTACCAGTATAAGATGCATCTGCACTAGGATTGCTTTACTGCTTTAGCTCCACCAGCAAAGCACTCCTAATGGAGAACTGGCCACAGTGGTATGAAACCATATAAAACCATTGATACTGGTAAAGTGCATACATATAAAGAGACGGGAGTGTCAGTGTGTGTACCACTGTAATTATACTAATATATTTAAACTGTGTACAGACAAGCTCAAAGGCACCCTATGCTTATGTAGCTGGTCCTAGCAAAATGACTTATTGCTCCCTCTAATCTTTTCTGTCCATGCGTGGAATAAATTTTGTGCACTGAGACATGCATCACCAGGAGAAATGCAAACCTAACTACAGTAAAACTCCATTGGTCCGGCATCAAATGCTCCGGCACTCCTGATGGTCTGGTACCATCAGGAACCCGGAAGTGCTCTGGCTGCCGGACAGTTGGAGCTGCTCTGCGCCCTGCTTCCCCGATTCAGCCGCTGCTGAAACTGACCAGCAGCTGAATCGGGGAAGCCGGGGGCAGAGCAGCTGGGGTGCTGCCATGTTGGTACTGCAGCACCGAGGGCGGGCGCTATGAGACCAACCCAGCAGCACCCCAGCTGCTCTGTCCTAGGCATCCCCGATTCAGCCGCTGCTGAAACTCACCAGCAGCTGATTCCAGGAAGCCCGGGGCAGAGCAGCTCTCCCCCACGTTCCTGGATTTTGAGGGGAGCAGCCAGATCACTGCTGCACCCATGGGGGTGTGTTTGCCCCAAAAGTGGTAAAAAGGGGGCCATGTGAGGTGTTGAATAGAAGTTTACTGTCTGCTAATCTTATGTACGCTAGTCATGTGATTGTACAATGTCTGTGTGTGAAATTATAAGCATGTACAGTAAACTTCTGATAATCCGGTACCTTTAGGACCCAGGGGATGCCGAATTATCAGATATACCAGACTATTGGAAGGGGGGGCTATGAAGGGTCTGGGGTGGCATCACCCCACCCCAGACCCCTCATAGCCCCCCCTTCCAATAGTCCGGCATATCTGATAATCTGGCACCCCCTGGGTACTAAAGGTGCCGGATTATCGGAAGTTTACTGTATAAGTGCTTTGCTAATCAGCTGTGTGGTATTGGAAGCTCTCCTAAATGTTTGCACAAGCATACAGCTTGCAGGGAACAGGACTTGATTGTAACTGAGTGCTCTGAAAGGGCTTCTCTGCATTTAAAATCTGTGGTGACCTTTTATCAGCGATGGTCTTAATGTGAGTGCAGGTCTACCAGTAAAAGAGCTCATTGGCTGTGTCTAGACTGGCAAGTTTTTCCGCAAAAGCAGCTGCTTGTGCGGAAAAACTTGCCAGCTGTCTACACTGGCCGCTTGAATTTCCGCAAGAACACTGACTTCATACTGTCCGAAATCAGTGCTTCCTGCAGAAATACTATGCTGCTCCCGTTCGGGCAAAAGTCCTTTTGCGCAAAGGGCCAGTGTAGACAGCTCAGATTTGTTTTGCGCAAAAGTGTGTCTAGATTAGCACGGACGCTTTTCTGCAAAAAGTGCTTTTGCGGAAAAGCATCCGTGCCAATTTAGACGCTCTTTTCCACAAATGCTTTTAACGGAAAATTTTTCCGTTAAAAGCATTTGCGGAAAATCATGCCAGTCTAGACATAACCACCGTGTTTTGCCAAAGCAAGGTAAAGGGAATGAAATCATCAAGTAAACCACCCCCCTATTGCAGATTCTCAGCTATTGGCAAACAGAAGCTAAGGATGCCAAATTTTTGACTTCATATCATTTCTCTCTGTGGCATTAAACTTGTTCCTTCTTTCTTTAACTCAATTCTGCCCTCTCCCAGAAAAGAGCACAATCAAAACTCTTTAGACAATTTCTATCCAACTGAAGCTAAATACGTAATCCCAACCCTGGATGTATAATGGGAAAACCCTGGTCTTCTCAGTCAAAAATAAATACTCAATTCCCATATTCAGTAGACAGTTTTCAAAGCAAAGTAAAATTTGAGCATCTGATGTTTTGTTCCTAAAAGGGACTGATCTGAATTGAAAGAACTATTGGATTTAAAAACAAGGAATAAGTAAACTTTGGAAAGTGTGTGGCTTTTGAGCTGTGAAGAAGTGTCAGATTGGAGTGTGTCAGGCCTCAGAACAGACGAGTTGTGTGTGTGTTTTTTTTGTTTAAAGAAAGAGCTTTTGATTCAGCTAAGACTCCTTCCTCCCACTTGTGTCATGCTTCAGCTTGCATGTGAATTTTAACAGCTTCCTTCTAGAATTCCCCCATGAGAGGATTTGAAATTGGAAATGTGGCAAGCCCTGTGTAGCATGGCATCTTTTTAGCCCCAGCTTGTTCTGAGAGAGAGAGAGGATGGTCCTTGATCCCTCAAGGTAGCAAAGTAAATCTTGTCAAGTTTATGCAGGGCCTGCTGACAGCTTTCAGAAGACACATGCTGAATTGTTGGCCTCAGCCTCTGCAGCCTAGCCCTTCCCTGTGCCTTAATTTCCAGGTTAAAAATGGGAGGGGGAGAGGGAAAGGGAAAGGGAAAGGGACACTCACCCAGAGGCAGCTGCTCTGTCCTTTCTAAGTGTCTCTAACCCTGTCCATTCCCTCCCTCCCCCCTCAGTGCTTCCTGCACCCACTGGTTTTTACCCATCGAGTCAGCACTTGTTCAAACTATGCCTCTGATCTTCCCTTAACCAATCAGTTTGGGATTTTATTCCCTGTACCATTCAGTTGTATCCTTCCTCTCCTTTGCCAATGGTTAGACACTGACCTTTAACTTGGGAGGACCTGGTTCAGTTCCCAGCTTGCCACAAACGCCTTGACCAAGCTATTCTGCCACTGTGCCTCAGTTTCCCCATATGCAGTGTGGACGCTAGCCATTCTCTGCCTCACCATAGATGTTGGGGCGCTCCTATACAATTTGCCCCTTCCTCAGGAGAAAGCTGGGATGCACTATTCCGACTCACAAGTCCCTATGCTCTGCTAGTCAGTGCCATTCGCTTCTTGGGCTGGGCTGGCTGTGCACTTTGGTTATTTATCCAATCCCTAAATAGCTGAGAAATATCAGTCCCTCAGTGCCCCTCCCCCAAGCCTAAGTCTGCTTCAGCATGGAGCCCCCTTTCCTTTTAAAAGTCTTTTACCTTCCCCGCCCGGATTGACTCCTATCTTTAAGTGTTTGGTGCTGTCCGGGGTATGGCATTGGAAATCAGAGCCGTTGGACAGAGAGATCTGGGGAGTTCAGCTGAGGGAGGAGCACTTTACTTTAAACCCAGGTCTGAGCCTAGCTCTGCTGCTGATCTTGGGCAAGTGCTGCCTGCCTCAGTTTCCCCATCTGTAAAATAGGAATAATGAGATTACGCTTGTAGAGTCCTTGGAGGTCTGTGGATGAAAAGAGCTCAGGGTAGTGGTATTTCAGTGTAGCAAGTTATGGGTACAAATCTTTCTTCCTGAAGCTGTTGCTAGTGTTCCACCATGCCTTTTCACTAGCTATCTTGTTCCACCCCAGAGGTGACTGCATTGATTTCTTCATGGCAGAAGTACTGGAGGAAGGAGCAGGCTCCTGTTTGTTCCTGTCCTTCACCTCTCTCTGCCCTTTCTCCCCAAACAGCTGTTATCAGCCAGTGGCACCAGGAATCAAAGGACAAGGTGGTCTCCCTGCTCCTGTCTCACCTGCCCCTGCTGCAGCCTGGCAACACAGAAGCCAAGTCTGAATACATGAAGCTATTGCAGAAAGTCCTGGCCTACTCCATCGAGAGCAACCTGTTCATTGAGGAGAGCCGGCAGCTGCTGTCTTATGCCCTTATCCACCCAGCCACCACGCTGGATGATCGTAACTCCTTGGCCCTGTGGCTCAGTCACCTTGAGGAACGCTTGTCTAGCGGCTACTCTGGCCAGGGCCGGGGCCGGCCTGACACTGCCTACCATTCACGCCAGAGCTCGGATGAGTGGCAGGGCCCGGTGGACTCGGGCATGGGGGAGCTGGGACACAGCTGGCAGGAGAAGCTGCCCCGAGAAAATGGACACTTGCCTTTCCACTCCTCCAGCTCAGTACCATCAGCCATTAACAGCATCGGGAGCAATGCAAATGCAGGTATGGTGCAGGGAGCGGGAACATGGGCAGTAGGTAGAAGCTGCAAAGGCCAATGTAAAAGGCTAGAAAACTGCCCCCAAGTAATTCCTGGAAAAAAGCTTTTACTAAACCATCAATCGTGATTTCAGAATTCCCAGTGTTGGAATTTTTTATTCAGACTGGAAATCAGGTGACCAGTGATACTGCAACAGCTCACCAAGGGTTGGGGTGGATGCTCCCTTGGTAAGTTGTTGCAGCATCAGTGATGCTCACTGAACATCTGATTTCCAGTCTGAATGTATCTAGCTTCAGCAGCCAATCATTGGAGAGTGTTCAACCTTCCTCTGCTATATTGAAGGGTCCAGGGTCAAATCCCCATGTAGGTACCTAGTCTGGGATCAAGTAATATCAGAACCTTCTCCTGAAGAGGAGTAGATTGAGTCTCAGTATCAGGTATGCTTTCCAATCACTCTCGTGGCTTTCTTCTCCTGTAGAGCTCAAAATACTTCGCTGGGGAAAGGTGAAGTGTCACAAGCTTGTTTTACCCACAGGGAAACACACAAAGCAGGCAAATTAGCTTCCCTCAGCTGGTCAGCAAGGGAGATAGGAGTCCTGAGTCCCTGAGACGTGCTTCCTTCCTCAGATTCTGCTCCGCAGAGTCCTGCTTCTGGGTGGGCCCCAGAAGAAAATATTTTGACCAAGCAGCTGGTGGAGTGGAGGGGTAGTAAAGGGTTTGGTTGGGTGGTAAAGGGTAGCAGTTGATGACAAATGAAATCTAAGCTGTGATGTTGGTGGAGGCAGGGCTTGGCCCATCAGTGCCCTGCATATCAATGCCTCAGTTTCCCCATCTATGAAATAGGGCTGCTAATAATATTCATTGCTCCTCCATCACAAGGGGTATTCACTTATGTTTGCACGATGCTCTGGGCATATGAAGTGAAAAGTTCTTGGAGTCTTACATGCTATGAAAGCAGTTGGTGTGTGTACACATACATAGAACTGCATAATGATTGATTAGATAAATGAAGATTGAAGATGGTGAGGGGAGTGTCAAGATGCGCTGCTGGGAGTATCACTTGATGGTGACCCCCCTCCCAATAATTGCCTCTGTTTCTGGTACAGAAATAGGAATTATTTTTAAAGCGAATCAGATTTACTCATCCCTGCTAGACACTTTTCCCTTTCCTTTCTTCTTCTCCACCTCCTCCCATTGGGATGGCTCCAGGCAGATTTCCCTCCCTGCCACCCCCAAGCATACACTTCAGTAGCTGTGTGGGGAGTAGGAGGGAAGAAAACGTGTTATTTTGAAACAAAAACAGGAACTACATGAATCAAAAAGAGGCTGCTAAACTTGACTTACCAGTGTCCCCTTTAACTTGAAAGCTGCCTCCAAGGGTGTGCCCAGGATGTCAGATTTAAGGGGGAAAACCATCTGTATCCCAGAGCAGCAATTGCTACTTACCCCGCCCCAGCCATAGTGGCACCTTACAGTCTGGATCCCTTGGCCAAACTGGACCATGCTGGTGAACCCCGCCGAGGCAGCCAGAAAAGTGGGTGATCTGTGGCGAGGGTGTGGGAGAGAGCATCCACTGTGGGTAGAAGATACCTGCTTCTTTTCATTGCTGCCAAATACCGCAGGGAGACCAGACTGGGGCCAAACTGCTCCCTGGCTGGCTCACAATGCTGGGGAAGCAGATGGCACACTGAGCAGGGCAGATGGCAGTGCAGTTCAGACGCAGCACCTCCACACACACCCCCAACTGATCCTTCAAAGCCCTTTGACACTGTTTGTTCCTCTGCGCAGGTGAGGGGGAGCTGGTCTAGTGGTTAGTTCCCCTAATGGATGTGGGTTTGGTTTCCAGCTGAACTGCCTGCCCTGGAGAAAGCCGCTTCCTGAGGAGATTGTCTCGACTTCTGTCAGTTGTGTCTAAGGTGAAAGGCCCCATAGCTGGGCTGGGAATTCTGCCCTTGTGGTTCTGGGGGAGCTTCACTGGGGTCATAGCCTGAATGCGGAGCGCAGGAGCTGGCAATGCAGGATTTTCAGAATGTAAGGCCCTGAAGCGTTGGCTGCACCAATGTGTCTGGCCTGACAATGTCCTGTTCTCTGTCTTTCTCCTTCCAGCTCTGCCCTGTCAGATCCACCCCAGCCCGCTCAAGCGCTCCATGTCCCTCATCCCCACCAGCCCACAGGCCCCCAGTGAGTGGATGAGCCCCGACGAGCTGTGTGCCCGGCAGGCATTCATTCCGGGGGACCATGCGCCCCTGTCTCCGCAAAGCAGCGTGGCCTCCTCGGGCAGCGAGCAGACAGAGGAGCAGAGCGCAATACCTTCCAGGAGGATGGCAGTGGCATGAAAGGTACATGGAGGAAGGAGGGGTCATCCGCTCATGCTGCAGAAGGAGGCCTGACTGCCTTGCTCCACCTGTTGACTCTGGAAAACCTGTGTAGTCCTAACAGGGGCTCCCAGCAATTTGCACAGAGCTTCCTTGGGCAGTCAGGGAGACCAGGGCAGTGTCAGTCTCACATGGGTAGTGCACAGCTTTAAAATTAGCTAGCCTTGGTCTGTAATCTAGCCTCTCAGAACATGGTCAGATGCCCTCTGTTACATAGGCCCTTTGTTGTTTGAGAAGGCCCTGCCTTAGGCCTGGATCCCTGGCTTCGAAAGGGGGATGTTGCTCTGGCTCTGAGGAGCACCAGAGCATCCAGTGCATAACACCAGCAGTCCCGAAAACCAGCTGCAGTGTCTTGTCACCATCCTGTGGCTAGAGATGCTTGGCCACTGGGTGATGGCCTAGCTCACGCTAAGGGGCCGGTCTCTCTCATCTCCACAGATGTTCCCTCGTGGCTGAAGAGCCTTCGCCTGCACAAGTACGCAGCGCTCTTCTCCCAGATGACATATGAAGAAATGATGACCCTCACAGAGCAACATCTGGAGTCCCAGGTGAGGAGGGGAAAATAGAGTCTCAGCCTTCACTCATCCTTGCACTTCTCCTCGGCAACAGCCACCTGGCAGGTCCCAGCCAGGGGCAAGAGGAGGGTGTTGTCCTAGCACACGCGTCTTTCACAGACTTGGGGGGCTAGTTCAGCACCTGCCAACTGGGAAAGTCTCTTGGGACTACCTCTGAGTATGGACTGCAGCCACCACCTCTATAGTCCCTTAGCTTCTGGTTTGATCTGATCCCTTCATTCCAGGAGCTTCTTTGGATACCTTCAGCCCAGAGCCTGAAATTCCCACCTACCTGCAGGGTGAATGCCGCAGAAAAGTGCCGAATTCCTGTTGGGCTGCCTGGCACTTGGCAGGCACGTGCAGCCAAAACCTGTTCCCTGCAGGGAGTCAGTCTGTCAGGAGTGGTTGCATCCATGGCTTTCTCCTTAGCTCTTGTATCTCTTGATCCCTCACAGAATGTGACCAAAGGAGCCAGGCACAAAATTGCCCTGAGCATCCAGAAGCTGCGGGAGAGGCAGAGTGTTCTTAAGTCTCTGGAGAAGGTAAGAACTAACAGCCTCCCCTGGGAGGCCTGAGCTGGAGGCAGACTGGCCTGGGGTCCAGGCACCGAGCTGAGAGCTGGGGTTGATTCCTGGCTTTTTGTTAGGCTCCATCTGTAAATCGGGGATGGCAGGGACTGTGAGCTCTTTGAGACGTGTGCCTCTTGATTGGGACCCGCGCAGTACCCAGCCAGGGCCTCGAGGTGCTGCCCTGATTCACATAGTGGGGGCGCTGCTTGGCATTAGCCACTGTTCCCATAGCTCCTGGTATCCCCTGGTTGGGAAAGTGGCCGGGGGCGTGCGTAACCAGGAGCACCAAGAGGAGAGCAGGTGCATGGCTGTGCGCTGCTTCAGGCTCTGATGAGAAAAGGGGCTATTCACCAGCCCACCATCACTACTGGCACTGGCTGGTTTCTTTCCCTCCCCCAGCAGGGCGGCCATGGGATCGAGGAATGACAGGTAGCACCTCTGAACTGGGTCAAGGGTGTCCTGCAGGAGGGTGTGTGCTTCGATGCTGTTGGGGTTAACACTCAAGATCTCAGGGCAGGGACCCTACTGACTGGGAGCTGTGCTCAATGGCTTGTCCTCCATTGTCTGCAACTCTTTCTGCCACGAAGGGCTGCTAGGACTCCAACCTGTGATCCCAGGTGCCATGAGCCTGATTCTTAGCCCACTGGTCCTCTTACTCTCGGTCCGTTTTGAGACATAGGGCTGCCCTTAATTCATGGCACCCTCCCTACTCTCCCCTTCCTTTGCCCTTTCTGCTGCCGCCCTCCCCCCTTTCCCGGGCCCTCGGCAGGACATCCTGGAAGGAGGGAACCTGTGGAACGCGCTCCAGGAGCTCCAGCAGATAATCATCACACCCATCAAAGCCTACAGTTCCCTACAAGCCATGACCACGCCCAAAGAGGGGCAACAGGTAGTGCCCGAGCACCATGCAGCCCCCAGGCCATGCTTGGACAAAGCCACCAATGGGGCGGAGGACAAGGAACAAGCGGTGGACGGCTTCCCATCCCAGACGGCCTCGACCTGCGATGGGGAATCAGCCACAGCACCCATTGCAGAAGGAGACATCCCAGGGCAGTTCACCCGGGTGATGGGGAAAGGTAAGGGCATGCCTGTACCTAGCATCAGCTGTGAATCATGCCACCAGTGTCTGGAGGGCACTGTTGCTACCCCGGTGGCATTCAGGGAAAGCTAGAAAGAGGGGCACATGGATTCGACGGCATGCTCTTGTGTTGAGGAAGGGATGGTTTCCTGGAACTCATGCTGTCGGATATATGGCCTTAGTCTCTATAGACCACGGAGATGTGCCTGTTCCCTCCTCGTTGTTATCCCATCAGTTAGGGGAGGGGTGGGAACTGGGCACAGGATGCCTGGGTTCTCTGGGTGATGAAACAAGATGATGCACATGAGGGAAGGTGGCTGTGCATGTTGGGTACAGGACAGCCTGACTCTCGGGGTGGGCAGTCAGCAATCACGGCTTCTGTTCCTGGCTGGGGGGAGAGTTGGGGGGATCTAGTGGTTAAAAGCATCCCATCAGTTAGGGGAGGGGTGGGAACTGGGCACAGGATGCCTGGGTTCTCTGGGTGATGAAACAAGATGATGCACATGAGGGAAGGTGGCTGTGCATGTTGGGTACAGGACAGCCTGACTCTCGGGGTGGGCAGTCAGCAATCACGGCTTCTGTTCCTGGCTGGGGGGAGAGTTGGGGGGATCTAGTGGTTAAAAGCACAGGGGCCTCAACCCTGGGTCCTGTCCCATTTGTACATACAGTGTGGGGTTTAGTGGATAGAGCATGGACTGGGCAGGATTCTTGGGTTTTTTTCCAGCTCTGCTACTTGCTCACTGCTTGTCCCTGGGCGCGTCCCTTTTCCTCTGTCATAGCATCCCTGTGTATTGACCCACTTCTGGGGCATGATGCTGAGCCGTGTGTGTGGGGCAGGGCAGGGGACTATGGGAGGGCCCGAGGAGTAACTCCTCTGTTCCCCTTGCAGTGTGCACGCAGCTGCTGGTCTCCCGGCCTGACGAGGAGAACATCACTAGTTACCTCCAGCTCATAGAGAAGTGCCTGACTCATGAGGTATCATCTGTGTGGAGCCCTCCCTCTGCTCCCAGGGGCGGGGCTACTGGCTACTCTCTGGGCTTGAAGGTTCTGCTTCTCTATGCCCAAGAAGCTAGGCCCCAGGGCTTTTCTTAAGGACCTTCTCCTCCCCTCCCCCAATGTTTTGGGCTGGATGTGCCCTCGGATTCCTCCATCCTCTGCTCTCTGTAGCAAGGCACCATTGTGCCACTCCTTCCCCGGCTGCTCCCACCCCTCCCTATGTCCTGGCACCAGCCTGGCGTCCTGACAGCGCTCTCCCTCTGCACAACAGGCATTCACAGAGACACAGAAGAAGAGGCTGTTGTCCTGGAAGCAGCAGGTACTGAAGCTGCTGCGAGCGTTCCCCCGGAAGGCAGTGCTCGACATGCAAGGGTACCGCCAGCAAAAAGGGTAGGCCGGAGTGTGTGATGTGTTTGCTGGGCTCATTGGTAAAATGGCTTAGGAGTAAGGTGGGGGGAGAGCCAACAAGTGCTTTAGTGCTAAACAGCACCCCTGGGCGATCTGACTAGATGTATGGCCCACTGGATCAGACTCTCGGATCAGACTCTCCAGCACATGGGTTCTTATCCCGACTCTTCCTTGATATATGGCCTTGACTTCCTCAGTTTCCCCTCCTACCCTCTATTTTGACTAAGTTTTTTGTCAAAAAATTAAGCCCCAGCAAGATGGGGCCCCGATCTCAGCTGTAGTCGCATGGTGTAACCGGTGAGTAAAGGGGGAGGAGGGTCCCACCCATCCCCGGAGTCGTTTGACTCTTGGATTGCTAGGCTATAATGACAGTGAAAGGGAGGCGGCAGGACCTAGCAGTTGGGTGACGGGGACTAGGTTTTAGTTTAGTCCCAGTGCTATGGGCAGGTCACTCCCAAGGGCACAGAATCCTGAAATACACCATGTTGTGAAATCCCCCCAGCTCCATGGTTTCCTTCTGACAAGCCCAGGGAGGAGCAGGTTCTGGGATCCCAGTCCACACCAGCCGATGGGGCTAGCATGGGGGCAGTTTCTCAGAAATCCTGGTGGGCTTGGCTGGCTCATGTGAGTTTCAGAGTCCTGCTCTGTGTGGCTGAGCTGCTAGAATCACCTGTCAGATGTCCCCAGCTGACTCTTCTTCTGAATGCTTTTCACTTCTAATAACCAGCTGGAATCCATCTGCACGTGAGCAGCAACCCAGGCCTATGAAAGCCAGTTTTGTTGGGGCCTCTCCCATCGAGTGGCTTGATTTGGGGGGAGCTGAGGGGGATTAAGGCTGGTTCAAAGGAGACTAGCTGAGAGGCAGTCTGTATCTGCAGAGGCAAAATTTTTAAGCAGCAGGTGGGGGAGGCCACTTGATTTGCCTTTAGAGAACCCATGTTTATACAGGAGTGTGGAAGGGAGCTAAGCACCATATGAAAACCAGCCCCATCCTCTAAGCTTCTCTAGTGGGGCCCTTTGCCCCCTCCCCCATGTCACTTCTAAAGATCTAGGCCAAGCTGTGTGTAATGCTCCAAGATGCTGAGATGCATTGATTGCTGTAGGAGGGGGCACGTACAACATGCCCCATGTAAAACTGGGTTGGGGAGTGGGGGCCGATCCCAGAGGTGCAGCAAGTAGCTGGAATTTCTGGATACTTCAAAACAGCCCTTATATTTTTTTTCACCTTCTCTGTTCCTCCCAGATGGGCTTTTGGCTCCAACTCTCTCCCCATAGCTGGATCTGTGGGGGTGGGTGTTGCCCGCAGAGGGCAGCGGCAGTTCCAGATGCCCCCTCGAGCCATTCCTCCAAGTCGCCTGGGGCTGCTAAGCCCAGCAGGGATTGGAGGGGTCTTGCCCCGGCATGCACTTACCAGCCCCAGCCTAGGGAGCCAGGGACGACAGGTGAGTACAGTGGGATGGGTCACTGCAGCCACGGGGTGGAGCGCAGGCTGGTTTCTCTGACCAGACTTCCCTGGGGCTCTGGCTGAAGCCCCAGATGAGCTGATGGGGGTTTTATAATGAACGGGAGCAGCGTGTACAAATCTAGAAGGGCTTGTCTGTCTAACTTGGCACATTGTAGAGCGACATCTGAACTCTGGGAAGAAAGTGGGGTCTAGTGGTTAGAATGGGGGCACCTCAGAGTCCAGTATTTCTGTGTTTTGTTCACAGACCAGCCATTAGATTCTCCATCGCTGGCGCTCTGCCTCAGTTTCTCCATCTTACTATGGGGTTAATAGACCTGCCCTGCCTGCCAGGAGGCATGTGGGGACAAATACATTAAAGATTGTGAGGCACTTGTATATTATGGTGATGGAAGCGAGATAGTATCTTAGATGAAACTGAGAGGCAGGACTGCTGGGTTGTATCCCCAGCCCTGGTGATTATGGCAGGGGAGCTTGGGAAGGGGCAGGACTTCTGAGTCTCATTGCTGGCTGTAGGAGGGGAGTGGGAGCTGTTGCAGCAGGATAAATTGATGGGGGGGCCTGCTTTTAAAGTAAGCTTTTGCCCCCCAAATGGCCTGGTATGGGGTTCCCCCTGTTTTGGGTTGGGGTCCTTACAGCAGGTGAAGAGCTGCTCTGTGATTTCCCAAAGCAGGTTTTTTCTGCCAGCCCTGAGATTGCAGAATCTTGCAGTGTCACCTGCCCTCCCATGGGGGTTGCCAGGGACTTCCCGTGTGTATGGAAGGGCCTCGTGATTCGCTCTGGCATGGGAGCCTGGTCCCCACTCCCACTGCGGCATTAGCCCATTGCATCTTTGAGGGGAGTGGGACTCCGAGTTACCCCAATCCTTTGCTGCTATTGAACGCTGACTCTGGATCTCCCATGTGCCAGGCGAGCTTGGGGGATCCCATGGGTCTGTATCTGTGTCCTCTAGCGCTGTCTTCCCCTCTCTCTCCACAGAACCTATGGTTTGCCAATCCTGGGGGCAGCAACAGCATGCCCGGCCAGAGCCGCAGCTCGGTCCAGCGCACCCATTCGCTACCCGTCCACACGTCCCCGCAGGCCATTATCATGTTCCCCCAGGGTGAGTAGCCAGGTCGCTTTCCTTCCAGAGCCAGTTCTTGGCAGGCTTTGGGCAGCATGTGATCTTGGGGAGTCTCTTTTGCCCAGCTCAGGCCTGCAGGAGGGCATCTGGAATATTGCATCCAATTTTGGGCCCTCCAGTACAGAAAGAATGTGGACAAATTGGTGAGAATCCAGCGGAGGGCAACAAAGATGATTAGTGGGCTTGAACACATGACTTATGAAGAGAGGTTGAGGGATTTGGGCTTCTTTAGTCTACAGAAGAGAAAAATGAGGGGGCATTTGCTAGCAGCCTTCAACTACCTGAAGGGGGTTTCAAAGAAGATGGAGAGAGGCTGTTCTCAGTGGAGACAGAAAGCTGAACAAAGAGCAATTGTCTCGTTAGTGGTGGAGGTCTAGATAGAATATTAGGAAAAACTATTTCACTAGGGGTGTGTCTAGACTACTGAGTTTTTTTGGGTTTGTTTTCTCCAAAAAAAGTGGCATTTTTTTGGAAAAAAAAGTCACCTGCATCTAGACTGCCGTTACATTCTTTCTAAATTAAATTGAAAGGATGCAGGTTTTTTGAGATTGGTAAACCTACTTTTACCAGGAAGAACGTTTTTGTGTGTGTTTTTTTTTTTGTTTTTTTTTTTAATTAAAAGAGCTCTTCGAAAGAAGGCTTTCTTGAATGCAAACAGGGCTTTTTCAAAAGAGAGCGTCCAGATTGCCTGTGTGCTCTCTTTTGAAAAAGCGGATCTCTTTTTTGAAACCCTTGTGGCTGTCAAGACTATCTCTTTCAAAAGAGGCTGGTATTCTAGACCCTAGGAGAGTGGTGAAGCACTGGAATGGGTTCCCTAGGGAAGTGGTAGAATATCTATCCGTAGAGGCTATAAGTTCCTGCTTGACAAAGCCCTGGCTGGGATGATTTAGTTGGGAGTGGTCCTGCTTGTGGTAGGGGGTTGGATTTGATGACCTGCTGAGGTCTGTGCCATCAACTCGCTCTCCTCCTCTCTGGCTCTTTCAGCTGCTCTGTGTAAGCCTGCATTGTTCCTCCCCAGAGCATGCTGAATGTGTTGGCAAGCAGTGTCGACCTGCTGCAAGTCCGGACTCCTGGCTTCTACCCCCAGCTGTGGGAGGGGCGCAGGATATAGTGGGTTGAACAGTGAGGACTGGGAGCTTGGACTCCTGAGTTCTACCCCCATCTCTCTGATGGGCACAGGGTCCAGTGGGTTAAAATGGGGTGCTGGGAGCCACAACTCCTGGATTCTCTCCCCGGCCCAGTCACTGGCTGTTTTTCAGTGGCGACAGTGGGAGTACAGGGATTAATGCAATGAGCCACCAGCTGAGGTTTTGAGCTGCCACAGCAATTGTGTGAGTGCTGTGTTACCCCAGTGTCTGTCACCCAGAAGGGAGTTTGGGTCCACATGACTGATCCCCTCCTCCTGCCCCCCTCTGTAGATTGCCAGATCCCTGGAACAGACCTGGAGATCAACCCCACGCTGGAGTCACTATGCTTGAGCATGACAGAGCATGCACTGGGCGGTGAGATACAGGGTTAGCCCTGGGGTTGTGGGGAGGGGGGAATGTTCAAGGAAGATACAAAACCGCAGGTTCATAGGAGACCAAGATGGGTCCCAAGCCTTTTCTTGGTCCCCTTGACTCCATGCCGGAGTGAGTTCCCACAGACCTGGGTCACAGCCAGATGCATGGGGTGTGTGAGTCCAATAGTGTCTTTGTCTGCACTGGGGCTTGCGTGGTGGAATGGGGTTTGCAGCTGGGCATAGTCGGCAGTCTGACCCTAGGCCATGACCTCCTATGGTGCTTGGCAATGAAGGGGGCCTGGCAAATTCCTTTAAGAAGGCATCTCTTGTGCTTAGCTGCAGTCACGGCCTTAAAGGGGCTTTGTTATCCAGGCATGCAGAATTGCTGGCCATTTGGCCCCAACCCAGCCATGGGACAACAAATTGTCCACTTCTGCCAGCAGCTGCATTCAATGCTCTGGTCCTGTTTTCTCTTCTAACAGATGGCACCGACAAGACCTCCACCATCTGACCAGCCTCGAGGACCTGCGATTCCTGACATGCTTTAGGGGTTTATCTTTATTTTTGGGGGGGGTGCTTAAAGGGGCGGTTGAATCTTCCACCCCACCCCCCTCATATCCTTCCCTGGCATTTGCCATCAACTCTGCCACAGCAAGGGGTTGGAAGAAGCTCTCACTACAATCTTACCATCTTATACGTTCTAATATTTTTCTACTTTATTATTACTTTAACTATGGTTTAATACTGAGCTGCGCCCTGTAACACCCAGGGTACCGTTGAAGCCAGAAGCAGCAGGATCTTGGGTCATGCGTATGTGTGTGTCCTCCCCCAATCTCTCCTGCCCATCCTTTCTCAGCATGGGGAAGAAGAAAGCGCCCGAGGGAGGAGTGGGGAAGGAGGGATAAAGCACACCTCTCATTCACTTTTCTCTGCATCCTGGGGCAGGGTGGATGTTTTTGGCCAATGCTGGTTGCCGTGTAAGGCACCGGGAGGCTAACCTGGCGAGCTGGTTTCTTCTGGGTTACCCCCCCGCCTGCTTTTTGCACCCAATACATGTGATGGAGGGCAGATTGGGGAGAGACCCCCTCCATGGACAGGGCCAGCAACTTTTCTGGACCTGTTAAGTGCCTGTAACTTCCCATCCCCACCCTCCCTTCCGTGATTGCTTGGGGGCGGGGCCATGCCATCCTCCGTAAGAAAGGAGGCTGGGGGTGTGGCTTTAGAGGGTCCACACACTTCCCTATAAGAGCAGGGTTTGGGGCATGGCCTTTGGGGGCACCCTGCCCTCCCCCATGGGACAAGCAGTGGATTCAGGGAGAGAAGCCATGCCCCAGAGAAGGGGTGTTGGGTTGGGGCTGAAAAGGAGGGATGGGGGGGATACCTGGGGGAGGGGTTGGAGCATTGGAGGGATTTTAACAGGAGGCTGGTGGGTGTTGGTTTAGCTGTGTCTGAGGCCTTCAAGGTCAGTTTGGTTGAGGGGTATGTTCTCCCCCCCCCCCCCCCCCCCCCCCCGCGC